TTTACTTATTATGCTTCATTAAGTACTTATACTTTTATTAAAATAAAACCATTTAAACTGGGTGTTCGGATTTATATGTCACTTAGTATATTTTACAATGCAATGATAGTCATCTACAAGATAAAGAATGGAATGAATCCCAAACACATATTGGAAGCTTTGCAATTTTTCTGTGATATTCATAGTTACAATACAAGGAATAGGTTTAATTTTCATGTTCCTGCTGTGGGATCTGCTTTTGCGCAAAATAGTTTATTTCATAAAGGCGTTATAGATTTTAATAATTTACCAGCTGAAATTAAATCTACAAATTTTGTCAAATTCAAAAGACAATCGAGAATTTATCTAGAAACTAGTGTTAGTTTTAGATAATATATGTATATATGTATATATATATATATATATATATATTGTATTGTTTAGCTTGAAGTTATTAAATAAAGATACCTACTACTACTATACTATTTTAATGGATCTGTAAAAATGTATCTAAGTTATTTATAATCATGTTTTGCAGCATTCTAGTCATGAATATTGATATGAATTAAAATAAAATAATTAATTAATAAAAATAGAATCTTGGGGACCCAGTACTGTTACACTCCTTAACGATAACTACTTTTATAAAAGAATTTGTGTTTGCATCACTGATTTATAAAATGTTCTACGCAGATGCTACAGAATCACCATAATGATACGAATCATAAAAATTATAAAGATAAAGATATTTTCAAGTATAGATTATTTTTTGACTGCTCCCAAAACTTCAAATAAATGGTGGCCATAAAAATGATTTTATAATAGCGTGTGTTATTGACGCTACACTTTTAACAGATAAGTGATTACTTACAAAAATAACAAAACGTGTTATTAATACATTATGAAATTTTCCACACACCATTAGAAATTGCATTTAAAAATCGCAACAGCTTCAGATATATGCGAAGAGCAACGTTGTGGCTTCATGCACAATCTAGCAACCATGTCGCATCAAAAACAAATGGCGGCTTGACAATGACATAAATTAATCGTGTTGCTTTATGGATAACACAGGACTGTACCTTCCTCAGCGTATATATGCGTATCTAGCATATCTCATTCTCTGTTTGAAATGCAAAAGTACTGTATTGTAAACTTACTAACCTCAAAACATTAAGATATAGGGGGAATCCGGGAGACTTGCGCAGGTGGGAGACTTGCCCCTCCGTGATATATTTACTTTAAAATTGCGCACCATAATCTGAAACGAGAGAAAACGGGACGCCCTCTAGTGCTTCTAGGCGTCTACGGAATCCTAGTTGACTTTTCTCAGTTTGTTTTGTATCTGACTCGCGGCAGGTGGCTTTTTGCGTTTAAACCAAAAATTAATACTTTTAGAAATTTCGTGATTTTGTGGGCAAATTAAAAGGTAAGTTTTAGATTCTTTTGTGGGTATATTAATTTGACGTTGTAGATTTATGCACCATAAATGTTTAACGTGCACTATTCATGAGAAAATTCAACATAACCTGAAAAAGAAAGATGTGGGAGAATGGCCCATACCTCAGGAGGGAGACTTGCCCAGAGGGGCAACTCTCCCTTTCTGATGTAATTCTAAATTGGTATTTGTTTTTAATTAATTTGAGTAAAAGTTGATGCATTTTTTTTATTACAGGTCTGTACAATGCCATTTAAGTACAAAAGAAAAGACGGTTCCACTCGCAAAAAACTTGATAAGGATGTTCTTAAAAATGCACTAGATGAACTAGGAATTCTTCGAAAAACTTCTGCACAATATGATATTGATCGGAGGACTTTGAGACGCTACAAAAACAATGAAAATAAACTTGAAAAAATAGAAACTAAAGGCCTGTATAATACTTCACAAATATTCACCATACAAGAAGAGAAGCTTCTGGTTGAATATTTTTTAAATTGCAGCAAAATGCACTATGGACTTACTCGAAAACAAGGAACGAAATTAGCTTTTGAGTTTGCAGTTTCGAATTCCAAAAAAAATCCAGAAAGTTGGTCAAAAAGTAGTATGGCAGGGAAGGATTGGTTTCGCGGTTTTTTATCAAGAAATCCCGAAATTAGTTCAAGAACTCCGGAGGCAACAAGCTTGTCACGATCTACAAGCTTCACTCGGAAGAATGTACACGATTTTTTTCAAAACTTAAGTATTGTTCCAGAAAAATTTAAGTTTGATCCACAAAATATTTATAACTGTGATGAAGTAGGATGTACTACAGTTCAGGATTGTCCTAAGGTATTGGCCAGTAAAAAAGCTAAGCAGGTTGGTCAAGTTACTTCATCAGAGAGGGGCACTTTGGTGACAGTTTGTTTTGCAGTCAATGCAACTGGAAGCGTTATTCCACCCTTTTTTATCTTCCTTCGTATCAAATATCGAGAAGACTTCGTTTCTGATGGCCCAGAAGGTTCATACTTTTTTTAAATTATTTTTATTTGTTTTTTGCATTAAACTTATGTTTATTCTGATTTCAAAGATTTAGATTTAGTTTCGCACTTGAATAAGTAAAGTTTTTTGTTTTATTTTTTCGAATACAAAAGTTATGATTTACATTTGTTTTTATTTAATAAGGGGGGTGGGCAACTCTCCTTCTGACTATGGGCAAGTCCCCCACATATGTGGGAGAGTTGCCCATGTTTTCAAAAAAATAAAAAAACTATATATTTTTTTCTGACTTATTTTTTTAAGGTTTAAATGATAATACAAGGTTCCGAAAAATATATGCTGCGAAGGCATCTAAAATTTATTGATTCATATAAATAGGAACAAATTTTATCACCAATAATAAATTGGGAGGGGCAAGTCTCCCGGACTTCCCTTACAATCCACCACCCCTACACCCTTCTACTCCTACCCTCATTTTTTTTCATTAATGATTCGGGTCTTTTAAAACTTCGTTTGAGCGATTTTTTTTTCATTTTTGTTTATTCTCCGCAGCCACTTGACCGATTTTCGAAGACTGCAAAGCTTCTTCGTCCTTGACGTAGAGGTAATCTTGTATAAAAAGTTCATCCAAATCCGAGCATTACTTTCCAAGTTATAGCGGGGCAATGGAATACCGAACAGGACGACAGACAGACCCTGATACACATGTCATAAGACATCCAACACATTTTCACCCAGTGGCGTAGGAAGTAGAATGGCCACGGGAGTGATCACACCTACATGGTTTCCGTTTAACGACCAAGAAACAGTGAATTATGTTACAAATTTCATAACTTCAGTACCCTGAGAGGCTAGTCCTACCCATGCATCTGACCTAAGCATCAAAATCGTGCTGTATATACAAGAAAATCAATTTTAGAGGTTACGTTATACAGGGTGTTTCAGTTTATTGTTGCATAACTTTAAGATTCGATAGAACTTTAAAAATTAATGCATAAAGTCTATATAAACATAGGTCGAAAAATGCGTGGCTTCCGAAATACGGGGTATTTAAATTTACTTTCTAAAATAGTTTTTTTTAAATATTTCGAACAATATTTGATGTATAACAGTGAAAATTGGTATACAAGGGTTTTACTGTAGCCGCTAGAGGGCGCTCTCTACTGGACCTGTAGTGTATTAAAATGACCGAAAAATTTTTCTTAGTGTAATTTTTTGCTTTTTGAATAAAAAAACTGATTCTTCGCACTTTTTTTTTCAACACTTTTCTTGTGAATGTTCGTTATAGTTAGCCGTTTTTGAGATATTTCGATTTTTAAGGTTCGATGCATTTTTAATTATTTATGATAAAATAACGTTAAAAAGTCAGTATCTCGATAATTTTTAGAAGTAGGCTGTGTCTGCAAATATTTTTGAAATTGGAAGCAGAATAAGGTTAAACGTCAATTAGTTGACAGTTAGTTTTGTTGTCTGTTGAAACCTGAAACGTTTTTTTGCCATTGTGAATGCACGAAATTTAGTTTCTTTTACCTGTTTTTTTTTGTAAGTTTTATAAAAATGCCATTTTTATTCTCCAATCAAGAGTTAGCGGATATTCATTTTGTGTATGACTTTGTAAATGGAAACGCAGCAGAAGCAGCCAGAGAATACGCACGAAGATTTCCAAACAGACGACATCCAACTCGCTCAGTATTTGTGGTCGTGCATCGCCAAATAATTGAAAATGGTTTTGGAAATCTCCAAAGGGATCAAAACATAAATGTTCGTCAGCGCAGATTTACCGGTATGATTCTGCGTGAGTTTGATAGAGATCCGATTTGGAGTTAGGAATTATTGCTGTTTAAAAACACAATCTAAACGATCATCTTAATTACTTGTAATGCCCAAATCGAAATTGTAAAAAAAAAATTTATTTTTCCATAAATAATTAAAAATGCATCGAACCTTAAAAATCGAAATATCTCAAAAACAGCTAACTATAACGAAAACTCACAGGAGAGCTTTTTTATGTTGAAAAGTGCGAAGAATCAGTTTTATTTATTCAAAAAACAAAAAATTGCACGGTCATTTTAATACATTACAGGTACAGTAGAGAGCGCCCTCTAGCGGCTACAGTGAAACTATGCCCATGGTTCGTTTTGTCGTACCAAAAAACCCTTGTATACCAATTTTCACTGTTATACATCAAATATTGTTCGAAATATTTAAAAAAAACTATTTTAGAAAGTAAATTTAAACACCTTGTACTTCGGAAGCCACGCATTTTTCGACCCATGTTTATATACACTTTATGCATTAATTTTAAAAGTTCTATCGAATCTTAAAGTTATGCAACAATAAACTGAAACACCCTGTATAAGACTAGCTGCCATGTACTAACTAGAAGCTTTAATCTTGACTAAATTTAACCAGTATGAAGCTTACCCGGATCGTAAGCATCGTTGATTCCAGTTGAATCATAATCTAAAAAACTTAAGTACCCGCGATCGACATGTACCCTCAAGCATATCTAACCTCAAAATGGTTCCACCTACAGCCACTAGGTGTCTCGCATGCCACACGCAATCACAACAAAGCTCGACAGTGCTAGGATGGTGGTACTTACCTCGAAATCAACAAAAATGCACTGCACCGAGAACAATCGCAAACCGTGCACGGATGAAATTTCGTAACCGAGAGCGCGGTTCACAGGAGAAACGTCGCGCACCAATTTAAATCGGTGGGTACCACTTGAAAAGTAGTAAAGTACTACTGGTCGCGCACCAGAGCCGCCCGAGGAGCCAATTAAAATCAATTAATTTCGGTCTAAGTGCGTTGAAAATGATGATGCGGTCCGTTCATCACTAAAGACGTGCGCGTCTACCGACGATTCCCAGCTTTTGTTTTCTCAAGTTCGTGATAAGATATTATTATAGAAAGGTCGATGTAGTTTGTACAATATATCCGAAACTGTTATCGGTAATTATTGGAATCTCGAATATTGTGATTGCGATACACTGTCACTAGCGCTGAGCCAGTTTGACAAAAAATAAAGTTAAGTAGAGTGAGACAATGAGCCGTATTCATAAAACAAAGGATGTACTTGCAAATTTTGAAGGAAATCCTCCAGATGGTATTTATAATAAATAATTTGAAGTAAATGCTTTTGCTTTTTGAGTATAAGCATGTCGTTCAAAGCAGTGACATAAGTAAAATGATATTCATAATCTTCACCTTTTATTTGGCATGGGAAGCATATGGTGTAATTGATTGTACACATATAGGAATCCTGAAAACAAATCGCCATAGATATGAGTATATCAACCGAAAAGGGAAACCTACTTTAAACGTGCAAGCCACTTGTGCTGCTAGAGAGATGTTCACAAGTGTTGATGTCAATTGGCCTGGATCAGTGCATGATTCTAGAATATGGAGAAATTCACAGACTACAGTATATTCAGATAAGAGATAGACCGGATGTAAACAAAAGTTTCGGGTGATTTTCACGCTAACGCCGCCGTCTCGACGTAAAACAGGAGCCCTCATTGGTCAATTCGCAATTAAATGCCTATGCCGAGCGGCAGAGCAGTCGTATCAAGGCAGAGTCACATTCAGGTTCAGACGTGTTACGTATGTCGTGTGCATCATTGCAATTTGATATTTCTTTGGACGTTTTCGTTTGTTATCTCATTAAGTTGTTGAGTTTGTCGTTGTTATTGTTATACCTTGTTATTGATTGTTATTGTTATCAACTGCTTGCGCAAAATGCCCAGTAGTACAGATACTGCCGATGAAGTTGTAAACTCCTGTAGTCCACCTAGGATACGCTCTAAAAAAAGACACCTGAGTGCAGAAATGAAAGAGGTCATTTTGAATATATATAAGAGCCGTTTTACACACAAGATAATTACTCCAAAAATTATGGTCATAATTATGCCGAAAATTTGCATGGAAAAAATATGAAGAATTTCTCTACAATCTGTATGACACAAGCAAACAAAATTTCCGAGTAATTCATATGATACGCCTGCGCATTAGAGTAACATTTTCGAATGGACATAACCTTAACGGGTATGACGTCCAATATAATCGGAAAGACAACAGACGTCGTTGATTTAAATTTATTTTTGAAATAGAGATCTTGGTTAATATTATAAAACTTCTCAATGCTTGGACTATCGCATCCAGCGCCTGACGCCGCAAATTTCTGTTTTTGTAATTGGGTGACTTCACCTTGAACAGGTTTGGCCATTTTTGATACTCCTACAACAACAGTGTAACTTCTTCCCGATTCCACGACATTATGAATAAACAATAACAATAAACGCTTCTTCGTAGTACGACTCGAACAGGACCATACTCACAAATGTTAAGTGGGGTTATGTTTTTGACGTTGACATTTGATAATGACATGTACGGAAATAACCCTCTGCGCCGATTCTCGCGAATTTTTTTAGGTGTAATACGACAGCAAAAATTTTCGGCATAATCATAACCATAATTTTTGGAGTAATTCTCTTGTGTGTAAAACGGCTCTAAGATCGAGCGCGAGGAGAACGAGGCATCAACCATCAAAGAAAATGTTGTGAAGGTTTCTCACAAAGTTGGGGTGTGTCGCGCATCAGTGTTTAATGTGTTAAGACAATACAAAAAAAATCACACCTTTTCTGAGCCAATGACCAGTAAACATCGCAAAAGTATTGTTAAATCATTGGATGAAGCTGATAAGCATGCGATTAGGAGGAAAGTGCATGAATTCTTCTTTAGGAATGAAATACCTACTATAGATAAAGTACTGCAGGAGGTAAATGGAGATACAACGTTGCCAAATTTCAAACGATCAACTTTCCATGCGTTACTGAAGCATTTAAATTTCAAATGGAAAAAACGGGGTCGTAATAGTTTACTACTGGATAGAGAAGAAATTGTGCTATGGAGGAGGGATTATTTAACAAAAATTGGGAAATATAGAAATCAAAACAGGAAGATTTATTACCTTGATGAAACGTGGGTAAACGCAGGACACACTACAAGTAAAGTATGGGTTGATGATTCTGTAACTTCATCCAGGAGGGCCTTTCTAGATGGACTGTCCACCGGATTAAAAAATCCAGCAGGTAAATACGAGTAATAGACAACAATCGGATGTTTTTCAAACCTTGGGAACAAGGTTCTAAACATTAATTCCAGGGGGCAGATAAAACATATTACAAGTAACAAAACTTTTATAACTTTCGATAAAATGCGTGGATGTTTTATTGTCATTTTCATTTGTTAGAACTTTTTCAAGCCATGTTTTTATGTGTTTTCGATATTTCAATAATTTTTTAATATAATCTTAAAATATGTCGAATATTATAAACTTAAAAAAAGTTACTAAGTTTTATATTGTGTACCGTTCCTAATATTTCTAATCATTTTAATTCATACTTTAAGCTTTATAAAGTTATAATTTGTTAATATTAATTATTTGCGCGTATTTCAGGTTCCTGATCATTCATTGTTTAGAGGTTTATAACTTTAAATTAAATTGTGAAGCGCTGAGTAATCATACGACGTTCAATATTCTTTCTTTCAATATGACTAAATAATCCCAATTATAGCAATCTGATACTCATGTCTCAATGTTTTTTCGCTGAATGTGATGAAAACATTTGAAAAAGGTTCGCTTATTGAAATAAATCTACACCAGTTAGTACTTCGATTTCCAGGTAAAGGGAAAAGGCTCATTATCTGCCATATTGGCAGTGAGGATGGATTTGTTGTTGACGGTCTGTGGTGCTTTGAGTCTAAGAAAACTGGAGATTACCACGAGGAAATGAATGGCGAATCGTTTGAACAGTGGTTTTCAAAAATTTTACCGAACTTAGAGGAAAACGCAGTAATTGTGTTGGATAATGCGCCTTATCATTCTCGAAGAATGGAGAAGGTCCCAACAACGGCTTCAAGGAAAGTTGATGTTCAAAATTGGCTCCGCTCGAAAAATATCAACTTTGAAGACGCAATGCTGAAAGTACAATTATTAAGAATTGTCAAGGATCACAAGGCGGAATATCAAAAATACGCCATTGACGAAATGGCAAAAGTCAAAATAAAACTGTGCTCCATTTACCTCCATACCATTGCGAGCTCAATCCCATTGAGCTCATATGGGCAGAGGTTAAAAATTATATAGCTAAGCACAATACAACTTTTAAATTTTGTGACCTCAAAGGACTTTTCAAAGAAGCACTAGAATTAATAACAGCGCAAAAATGGGAAAACTGTATTAAGCACGTGAAAGACAAAGTTGAAAAGAGAATGTGGGAACTGGACAATATTTTAGAGGAACAAGTCGAACCATTCATTATTGACGTTGGTGCTTCAGGCAGTAGCGATGATGAAAGCTCATCAAGCTCATCTTTCCAATAAAAGATGTCGTTCATCAAATTCGGTAAGTTATAAGTAATTATAAAGCTACTGTATTTTTTTATTAATTATTGACATTTTTGAACCCATTTTGGCAAAACCTATTCAAGAATCTACTTTCTGACAATGTTCATGACATTTTTTTACGTTTTGAACGTTTTAATTTGGTTACATATTTACCTAGAAATCAAAAAATATACTAATCAATATTCTAAAAGCAATTTTAAGAGATATACGATTATTTTTAATTTAGGCTAATTTAAACGCCATTTTAAGATTATATTCGACTGTATTTCACCAAACATCAGGCGGCATCCGAAGCTGGAAATCGAAGCGAAAATTTTGAAACCCTTATGTATATTTACATCATTATATATTTCTTACCCCACCCCCACATGATCCTATATCCATCACCAATCGTATACACATCGAATTGTGCTAATTTACTACAAAGTTACGCAAAGCAGCATCTACTATCTAAAATATGTACTGCGTGACTCTTAATACGTCCTTGCCGAATGTTACAGCGTTCGATGATCACGTGGTCTTGTTTATGTCCGGTCTATCTCTTATCTGAATATACTGTAGATCACAACTGATAAATAAAGCAAATGTACTACTTGGCGATGACGGTTATGGTATTGAGCCATGCCTTATGACTCCCTTCAGAAATCCTACTCCAGGCGCAGAAATTGATTATAATAAGCTTTTAAAACATGAAAGAGTTGTTGTTCGGACTATGTTAGCGAAGGTGTTGATTTGCAGAAAATGAACTTGAATTTTAACGGATTTAGTATAAAGAAAAATAGATTGGCTGCAAGCGGTGTAAATAACAAATTAAAAATAAATGAACATCTTTGTATACTGAATGACAAAGAAAATGCAACACCGACTAGGAGTGCTGTAACTTTGAGCATACTTTTACAAGTTTAAGGTCTACTAATAAATAGAAAGTAGTTAAGATTTTGACTCGAAATTTCGCAAAATACACACTCGTCGATTTGCATGATAACAACAATAAAGCAAATGTAATCAACACAGATAAATCACACGCCTTCAACATTTTATCAGCGTATACTTCGATGATAGCAAATATGTTTACAAGTTTTTATTAAAATTCAATAAATAATTCTGGGTGTTGCATATTATATGTCACTTAGTATAAGGTACCTGTACCAAATAAGGCCACATTAACGTTTGGATAGCTGTAACTGCGTAAATATTTGCGAAACGACCTTGAAATTTCAAAGGTATTATTGTAGATATGTTTATTACACAAGCTACATCGGAGAACTCAGAGACCTTTTCTTTTCATATAAAAAAAATATATTTTTCGAAACACTACCGTTGGCCTTATTAGGAACCCATGTATCCAAATAAGGCCACCATCTGGTTTTCAATAAAACCACAATCAAAATGTAAATCAAGACTGTATAATAAACGAAGCTATATTTCTAATTAAACAAAATTAAAAAAACACTTAAATCTAGACAGATTTAGATAAAAAAAGTGAACTTGTTTAAAGAAAATCATACAGAATCTTAGATTTTGCCTTCGCAATGATGACAAACAAATGATACTTTATCACCTCTACACAAGCCTACACATTCCTCATGGACATATCT